GGTCTTCAAAAGCACTTTGTGTCTAAAAGTCGTTAAAGAAATGTCGGGTTCGCTTTGCACTGTGTCCCGAGGCTTCCTATAGGGTAGTAGAGGGCATAAATAAGGGTGAATACATGTATTCGGAAGACGACAGGGCAAATGGGGCCTGAGCGTTGCTCGAAGGCCAGCCCTCGTGTTCAAGGTCAAGCCAAATAATTAAGAGACCGTCAAACGTCGGGTAGTCACATAAACTAAGCATCGCAGCCTCTGCTCCGAAATTCCAGTGTGCCGTCCTTAGACTTTATTTAAGCTTGGCTTGGAACTTTGATCTGGATCATAGGGCGGCTTATTATACGCCATCAAGATCGTCACTAAAATGGCTGCGATTTATGCAGTCGATCAAATGGAAAACATAGTGCAGCGCTTCGGGTCTTCCCACGGAGTAGAAGAAGACATTAAGTGGAGCTGAATATATGCCTTCGAGGGTGAATAAAGGGACCAGAATAAAGCTTGGCCCGAGGGTCAGCCTACTCATGCAAGTATTAGACGAACCTTAAAGTTACTGCCAGGTTGTGACTCTAAGTAACATGTAGTTTATCTTGTTTAGTTAACAGCCACTTAAGTAAGGATATTGCCCCTGTCAGATAGGGTGGTCTATAAACCCCGCTTACAGACTAATTCCTTTGAAAACCAATGAAAAACTTTGTACTCGTTTCGATTTTTACCCCTTTTCTTTACATACCGACTTTATTGAATGAGGTTGGGTTTCGCCACCAAACAATCTAAAATTCTTTGCGCATATCAGAAATAACCTATGCCAAATCAGCACGTTATACTTAGTTTATTCATTTACCTGTCTAGGTAAAAGTCATCTTAATGAATATTTTGTTTATGTTGGGTGTAATGCACTCAAATTTTGCAGCCAGGTCTTTTTTTGTACGAAATAGGAAGACTCAGGAATTGAAGTAGTATTGTAGCATCCTGCGATTTCCCGACAGGTAGAAGAAGACGTTACATTGGGCAGAGTATATTATTATGTGAGAAAGTATTAATCGTGAGCTTGGCTTGAAGAGCAGCTCATGAAATTTTATGCCTCAGATGAATACCATGGCTAGATGGCATACCGCAAGAGTAGAACAAATTTATTTGGGCAAAAGAAGCGGATAACATAGCCTTAGCGTCACTCTCACCAGACTTACGTTTATCAGATTTTGCAGGTTTCGAAGAACACTAGATTTCAGGAGCTTTTTCAGTCAAAAATGCAGTGTAAGCGAAGGAATAGCGAGAAAGATGGAGATATAAAAATATTTTCACCCTGAGTTCACGCGATTTTTGCCACCAGCACGACCATCGAAGCAAGTTTCAGTCTTTGACCGGCAGAGGACTGCGTATCCAGCGCATACGCACTACAGAGAGGACAGTCTGAACGACACGTAGGTAAACCTAAATGGCACAAGGGGTACGACCACCTAAAAGTAAGCATTTGATGCCAAATACCAAACAAAATGTATTGCAACTGTAATCGAGAAAAATATCACTTTTTGTGAGAGCACAGGATTTGGAAATCAGCATTAACAATGCTTCAAATTCAATGCAAATAGACCCGCGCAATAAAATGTATGCAAAAAATTTTCAGATTAACCTAAGGTTTTGCTCTTTTTCAAACATAAGTAGGTTTGCTTTAACTATTGTTTATGTCACAGTGTCGTTTTTGTTTTAAATGCCCTAGACGTGATAATCACATGTTCACGCCGCCTTTTGTTATAAGTGGTCTGCTTCGCCGCACCGGTGGGTGTATGTCTCTCTGTTGGTTTACTGGTATTGCTTTGCTACGGTATCGGTGATATATATTTTTATAGCAATATGCGTCGCATTTTTAGTCTTTGGTATCAAAACTAACCGTTTGGGAGCATACTACTCATCTTGCTTACCTTCAAGTCTCTTAGTGCGAATCTGTTGGCTTGATTTATTCCCAAACTTCTGATCTTTTTAATAGTGTACTTTTTCAAATGGATGGTTTGTTAGGCTGTAGATGTCGGCATATTGCTCTTAGCCCTTGCTGCATTGTAGCCTATTTCATTAAATAAGGGAGTATTTAGCAAATTCCATTCTTATTGAGTGCTAGTGCAGTGGTACAGTATGGTTGGGATATCTGCAGGGTAGTCAACTAGTAACTGCAAATTATAATTTCAGACTCATGTCCAGTTATCGTCAAATCACCGCTCTTACTGTAGTTTCCGCATCACTCTTTTACCTTTGGTCTCGCTATTGCAGAAAGAAAAAAAACTCTCAGAGTTTATCTGATCAGGTAGGTTTCCTGGCAGACCACTTATGCTTGATTTTTTAACTCTAACCAGGCTTTCACGCACATGGCTTTCGCTTCACTCCTTTGCTGTGGTACAAATCCGTTTCGCAAACGGAAAAAGACAAAGGCAAAGAACAAAGCTCCTTACAAAAAGGTATCTTGAAATTAAACAAACGCATAAAGGGGGAAAACACGATAGTATTTTACGTAAAATCGGTGAGAGGCTCCAAATTTTGCGCCGGAACGTGAATAACCTGTTAAGAAATTACCGAAACGAGTTTTGGATGAGTTAACTGTAGCTTTGCATGGTAGATTGCGACACAATTTTCGGCGCTACACTGTATATTGCGTTTGCTGTGCTTGACTGAAATTCACTGAATAAGTTCCTCTTTGCTTAGAAACCGAGTTGTAGCGGACTCTCAGTGTCTGCCATAGACGAAGGTAAGCAGGATCTGGTCGTCTCTGTGACATCACCTGAAGTTTATGAATCTGTTGCGCCACTGGACAAACCACTCATCGAAGCTAATACCTTCACCGACGTCCTTCCCGACCCCCTCGTACATCTCGACTCTGTTTCCGAGGGGGCTGTTTTTCAAGAAGTAGCCGAGAGCTGTGAGATTGTTGAAGAGGAGGCCTTCGTTTCCAATTCATCTTGTTCTGTTCAAATTGGTCCCGTTGTTGAAGCTCAGGGAATTCTTGAGGGTTCTTTTTTAGCTGCTAAAGACTGCACTCCTATAATTGAGCTCAACGACGTTACTGAATCGAATACCACTACCTTGGCTAAATCTATTGATAAGGATTCCTACGAAGATCACGTTGTTGAATCTCCTGCTACTGCTCATGTATTAGAAGTTAGCTACAGTCCACTGGATTCGCTTAAGGCTGAAGCTGAGGAAGCAATGTCACGTTGTGAAGATTCAGCGTTATCTGGCCAAAGCACTCAGGAGGATATATTACACTCCACGAATGCAGTTGTGTCGCAATTCGTCTCCGCCGAACCGACAGACATGGAGTGCCTTAATGGCATCGAAACTGAAGCACCACAAGCGATGCTTGGCGTTGACGCTCACGATTCGATTCATCCTCTTGGAATTGTGGGAATTGTGTGTGAAGCTTCCGCTTCTGATGGATCTCCGACTACTGCAAATACGGAAATGAGAGTTATGCGACACTCTGATAATTTCCTGCAGGAGGTATCTGGATCTACATCTGCTGTTCAACATTCAGATGAATCCGCACGGATTACGAGTCCTGAGTTTTCTGCAACTGCAACAGAGACGGAAGAAGTTCAAGGCGCCATCGATGCTCATTGTGTTGTAGGATCCACAAACGTACATGATTCGACTGAAACTATTAGTGTCGCAGAGACTTGTGCTGTTGAAACAGCAATTCCCACCTCTACGGCGTTGGACGCTATGGGGGACTCCGATTCGACTCAACAAGAGGCATTAAAGCTGGTCAATAGTGTTAGTACTGGTGATCTGGGCGGACCTGTTAAGGGTGTTCAAGAAGCGGTTACGTCTTTCCCTCCTGATTCTCATGGATTGCAAATTATGTTATCATCCACGGATTCAGGAGTTCAACAAGAGGCATCAGGATACGCACCCCTTGAGTCGATCTGTGTTCAGGCGAATTCTGTGTCCCTAATGGCCTCTTCAGACGTTGCCTCAGGAGTAGCAGAGTCTGTAGAAGCTTTAAATGAAGCTGGTACCACTTTATCGACTAGCATTGATGCTGCATCACCGAAGTCGGGCAGTTGCGAGAGCGTTGTAGTGACTAGCGATTCGGATCAGGCACACCTTGCACCTGAGGATGTCACAGAGGCTGGTGACAAATATCAAATCCCTCAAGTGCCTAAGGGCATTTTCAATGATCCCGAACACGATATTGTGGAAGCCCCACCCGAAGACTTTGATGGCACGCTGATCCCTCGAGTATTGGTTCCTAGCGATTTGCTGGCCAGGGCTGTTGATGAGAAAATCTGGGTTGAGTCTATTAACGTACCTGCCTGTATGGGTGGTGTGCTCATTGGCCGATTCGGGAAGAATGTACGTGAACTGCGGACAGACCTAAAGGCAGAGATGACATTGAGCATGAATCCTGGGTGCCAGAATTCTCTTCTCCTGAAAATTAGCTGTCCTCTGGAAAATAAGGATAGCGTTAATGAGTGGGTCAATAAGCGCCTAAACACAAAGCCCTCGCAAACAACAATCGGGAACCCTAATCAGCTGCAGGTCGGTTGTAATTTTATTTGCTTTAAGCGTGTTTTATGACTGCTCAGCGATTGTGAATTTGTCTTCTAGCGATTACTCCCTCTCGGTCAGGTGACGGACGTGATGGTACGCTCTCTTTACGGTCAGAAGGAGTTTTTTGTAACCATTCAGGATACTGAGTACATTCGGTATAGAGAAATGCAGGAGGAATTGGATAAAGACTACTACTCCTTGAGTACGCCTCGAATGCAGCTCTACGAGCCTGTCACATCGGGCACGGTTGCTGTTCTTTCGCATCGCCTTGGCTTTGCACGCGTTGTCATTCTTAAGGTCCTTGTTAAATGGCCGCGACTGGCTCTTTGCTTCATGCTTGATCACGGCACATTCGCCATTGCCCCCATAACAGATTTGCGTAAGATTAAGTAAGTGAATGTTCTATTTCTTAAAACTACATTCCAACAAAGTGTCTGAATTTATTTGCATATTTTTCCAGGACTAAATACATGCGGGTTCCCTTCCAAGCAATTCATGTTAGTTGGGCACATGCGCTTCCAGTTTACACTGACGCCCCTGTTCTCCACATACTGAGAACGTTCTTTGAACGCAGGAAATTGTCAGCTTTTCCGGTTCGCATGGAAACTTGCTGTCGGTCTTCTGTCGTTTTTCTGGAACGGTCCTCGATATCCTCACCTAATGCCCAGCCGGCTTATCGTGATATTCTATTTGACGCCTGTCAGAATTATTTCTTCCAACTCGCCCCCGTAGTCATCTCACCCAGTCGTCAAATGTGGATAAACCGGACCGACACTCCCTACTACTATTGTCCCTACTCCGCTATTCCCTATGATCAATTTGTCCACTATCTCCCTGAAGTAGATGTTCAGCAACCACAGCAGGAGCAAGTTCAGATGCAACAACAGCAACCACAGCATCGGCACCAGCAGCAGCAAAGAGGAGGTCCAAACCACACGCATAATCGAACAAGACGATTCGGGAATAATAGCGGTGGTGGTGGAGGGGCATACAAACGGACCCAAAATCTTCACACCAATCACCAGAATGGTCGTCGTTCCCGTAGGAACGGTCCCATCAACAGCAATGGCCAACAACATCAGCAGAGGGCAAAGAAGAAGGAGTCAAATGAAACTACAGCAGTAGCGAAAACTTGAAATTATCATTGCCTGCATCATGTAGCGGTATTTATTGGCGGTCGTTAACTGGAATTTCTGTATATTTACGGCTCGTGTACAATAATCTTCACTCCTGTCCCGTTCGCTTAACGATTAAACTAAAATTTGGCTCCTTTCCCATCCCGCTTTGTCCTTCATCACCCTGCCAATGAACTATGTTCCACTTTTGCGTTTTCACAGAGTTTAATCTCCTTCTGCTGCAACAATTTGAGATATTGTTGTGAATTCGTCTGTACACTAAAGTATTCGGACTTCGCACGTTTATAATTTCGGTCATCGATTTAGGGTTTTGATTGTTGCCATTACTATATTATTATCGCTCATTTTCGTCTTCTATACTCGGGGCGAACTGTCTACTTTTCGAAATTCGCAAATTAGACCCTTGCGGTTGTCGTCTCTCATTGTCGCCGCGTACTGCCCTTTGTTTCGAACGTATGCACGTGATGGAGTTCGCTACTGTGACAACCGAAACAAGTGTCTACATCTGGTTTCGCGTGCTTTCACCTTTCTGTTACTAATTTGTACAATAAATGTTAATTTAATAGCTCTTTTCTTTGATGGATGACAGTTTGGGCAGTGGTGCTCTATTTACGGATACTTTTTAGGTTAGTTTAAGCGTGGTGGGAGGTTACAGGCCGTCGAGTTGGGTGGGGTTCTCGTAGCTGCCGCGGTTTCAGTTGCCTCAAGAATCACCTCTCCATCTTGTGACTGATGAAAGTTACGCCTGTACATGAGTGTTGACTCCCTTCCCCTTTTCCCTGGATCTGGAGTAGGGCAAGAACACTGATTAACTGGACAAAGATTCCACGTCTCCTAACTCCGAAGCCCCGTTTTAAAGTGACGAATTCTGTCGAATTTGTTGTGTTAATTCTGCCTCACTCCCAAGAATAGGTGTTGGGTAATTTTACATGGTTGATGATTCCACACTTTACATCGCAGTTATAATTGCCTGGAGAACACACTTCCAAATTAATGCCGATAATAAAGCAATGTAATTGCGTAGTGAGGCTGAATTCTCAGACACCTACCAGCAGTTTTCACACATCACTGTGATGTCCCCCTCCTCCGCCCCTACCCTTGCTGTTCTTCCATTACACTTTTTTACTTTTGAACAGAATAAACTTGATTTTTCGCAGCAAAATTACCTTGCTATAGGGCCCTCATTTGGAGCTAATAGCTAGAGCAAATGTCGAAACACTATTAAAAGTGGCCCCTCTTGGGCCGCTGTGGCGGTCCACAGAATGTGCACAAACAGCAGAGCTTAGCATATGGCATGGTAGAATACGGTATTGATACACATGTTTAAACGGTTATAACTGGCAGAACTGGTGTTATTACGCCTACCTCATTGCTCCAAATTTCCCGTTCCCGGCCATTTGAACTCGGCGTGTTATAGTTACAAATCGGATGACTCACTCCTACACGCGCGCGGTGGTGGAAAGTGGAGCGTCCAAGGTCGAAGTCCTACTGGTCGGATTAGTGGGTGGGTTTCTTGGAAGGCGGAAATATCGAT